ATGGAGAATCACTGTTAAAGTAACTGAAAGAAACTACTCACTCCCCCTCCCATCGTGTATCCAAGACGGAGCTGGAATATAGGTGGGAGAAGTCTGTAATGACGACACTACATCCTGTAGGGGGGGTTTAGACAAGACCCCTTAGACTGTTAACCAATTGTTGAATGTATACTGTATGTTTAACTGTGACTCTGTACATGATGTATTTCTGCTTTAAAAGGAACTCCCACTCCAGGGAATAAAGGCATTCCTCAGGTTTTTCACTGATCAGAAACTTTGTCTCCGGTGTGAATTACTTCTAGGGAAAGTGTGCATGCATTAATCAATTTGGAAGGAGTAGATAGACAAATAATCAAAGTTTTCTTTGATCTAAAACAACAGAAACCATAGACCAACTTGCATGCACATGATCGTGATTCTCAACTGATTACAGATACTGCAAGTTGGATACAATGGACTGCAAATTTGTGATTGAGGAAGATTTTCCACCACTTCAGAGAATACAACGGAGGGAAAGAATGGCTGGTGAGGTTGCAGTAGACGAACCGATCTTGTCAGCAAGTGATCAGTTCAGGGTGGAGGTGTAAATTGTGACTTTAGTCAAGATGATTAATAGTATGCAGAGCTGATTTAAAAATACATGATCAGCTGTGTGCAAAGTTGGCATGTTTGGATCCCCACCCAAAAAAACAAAATTTTAGTACACCTTCCCAACAGTGTATTAGAACGACTGAGCAGCCTTGTAAGTAAATTCGACTCCATGGCAACTACAGAGAAACTGCAAAGTGAGACATTTGATTTTGCATCAAAGTGGCAAAGATTGGAAAATGTCTCTTGATGAAGAATATACTGATGCTAACAATGAAGGTCAAGAAGAAGACGCCATTCATTCTCATCTTATCTCTGTAACAGTCATACTCAAATGTTAGTAATAAAAGAGGAAAGTGCAAGACTTGCAATAACTGGATAGCATGCTGCTATAACGTGTTCGTTTATTACAGCTTATACAGTCAAGGGTACACAAATTGACACAGACAGACACTTTCCTCTTCTCATGTAACATGTAAAAGCTCATTTTTAAAACTTTAATATATGCTGAACAGATTTCTAAATTCCCATACTCAACCACATTTGGACGACTTTATGCTTATGTCCATGAAAATAGAGGCCTTGATTTGCCTAGGTAAAAAAACTATCATGGATGCTTTGCCTTCGAAAACACCTTGCTACAGGGGATATTGCTTGCATATACAGCGTTACAATTCTGGTTAATCTTTTTCAATTTTTTTACTGGATTAGTTATTTGTTTACAAGTCATAACTACTTTTATAAGTTTTTGCAAATTTATCCTCTAAAAACTTTAGAAGACAGTTTGCACATTGCAACTCCCTAAATGTTAATGAGCCCAGATTTAATCTACTGTTAAAGTAATTTACTTGTTTTAAAGCACTTTTGAATAATGTTTGTATATTACTTTTTGAAAAAACTCTTAGAGATGCTTGCCATGATACTGGTTCATCCTAAACATTTTTTACTTTTCTATAATTGGGCTAGAAAGCTAGTTAGCAATATGTTTTCAAGTTTGTGGAATGCTAAAGGTTTTTACACATTTTGTACTGTTACAAAATTAACAGCAACATTTTTGCACTTTATAACTTACAATATTAAATGACTGTTTAGTAAAACATTGCACTCTTTATTATCAGTTTATTTGCACTATATCTACTACCAATTTGTGTATGAGTAGTTTATACATGTTAAATTAATAAAGTTTGGAAACAGTTTGCGTCTTCCATACTTTGAAGTAAAGTTATTTTAATTATTCTTTACTTTGACAATGTTTACTGGACAAACACACTTGCATGGGATAATGGTTTACTATGATATTTGAAACAATGGACATAAAGAAGTTCTGAATGTAGTCTAATCACCACAGCAATAAATGGACTGTTCTTGATTGCTCCACTTCCCACCTTTAGTCAGTCTTATTTATAAATAATTAACTCTTCAAATGTGCTTTAAAATGACGACGCAAAGCTATGGGGCTGGTATGCAGTTCATTTCCATGGCTGGTTTTCAGTCTGGCCCTGCTCAAACTGATACAAAATGGAAATGTCATTTTTATCATTGAAAATAAAACTGTGTGAATTACAGCCAGTGTGTATTATTGTTTAATGCACATATATACACACACACAAGTAAATACTTCCTGGCTAATCCTTGCGCTATAGCAGCAGCTATCGAAAATGGGAATTGTTACCTCTCTGGATATTACACCATTGAATAAAATATTGAAAATCACCTACAATCACTTTTTCTATTAAGGATTTAGTAAATAAAGAAGGTCAGGCAAGGCAAACACAATCAAAAATATTTTTTATTTTAACCTCTTCTCTGTCAGCTTCAAAGGATAGAGTACAACAATAAATTAAGATGGATCCACCCAATACTGGATAAATAAAAAGGTATGTATTGTTACACTTAAAAATAACTCTATAGTGTTAGTAATACAAATATGTATTCCTAATTCTAAAGTGATCTGGTCACCATTTAGCTGACCAGGCCAGCACAACCAGGGTTAAGAAAGAAAAAAAAAAAAAAAAAAAAGGGATGTACTTACCTTTCAGCCCTTGCTGATGTCCTCCATGAAGTTCCACCTCCTTGGCGGAGATCATCAACGTTTATCTTAACCAATCCAAAACGTTCAAGTAGGAAAGCATTAGGAAGTAAGTGCGCATGGACGGCAAAACGCTGTTTTGCACTGCTATTTTACACAAGCACCTATAGTTTTTATCATATTGACAGCCACTAGACGCAGGTTAACACTACAAAGAAAAAAACATTACCATTCCTGTTGTACGGCAATGTTAAAACATGGGGGCACGTGGCACCCTGGGTGCCTATAGTGTCCCTTTAATATTATACTTTTCAAACCTCAAACTCATTTGTTAAAAATAGTGATGATAGAGAATATATATCTCCTAGGAAATAAAACTTTGGACAGAAGGAGAGTTTCCAATGATAATGTGTGCAAGAAAAAAAGCTAGTGTTAAAATTCTAGAATCATTCAGACCTGCAAGAAATGCCAAAAATGCATTGTGGGACCATTTCAGACCAATAACTTGCACATGGTCCTAGCACATAGCTGGTGCTTGCAATCAAAAGTGGATTATATATGGCAGTCCACACAGAGGAAGGGTAAGCAAGAAGCTGCATTAAAAAGTAATATAAAAGCACAACTAGACTTAGTTATCACTTATAGTTAGTGATAAAAAAAAATGACAGATTTCCTTTACAAGAAACTATACTTTGTGTGTGACATATGAAATAGAACATCTGAACCATAAAATCTACAAATTCAAGGGGTGACCTTGAAATTGCAAAAATAAGATGTTCCAAGTATTCCGTAACCACTCAGTCCAAAATGGTGCAGATCAAGATTAAAAGTAACATTAGTAAGGTAAAATGTGTATTCCCAGAGCTATAGTTCCCTGGTGGAACTTTAGGTGAATGCCCCCAAGCTATAGGGAGAAAAGCTTTACTTCCCTTTTCTCCCTCATAGCCCTACCTCCTTGGCTGAGTTAACTGAAATCGATGATCTCAGCCAATCCAATACTTTTCCATAGTTCAACATTGGGAGCTAGGGGACATGCGCATCAAAACACAATGTGCTGATGAGATCGTCTCTGACCAACTTGTAAACAGCCACTGAGGCTCTGCTATTAGTGACCGCCATTAGAGGCACAAACTCTGGTTTGGGTGCCCATAGTTATAGTTGTCTAGGTTGAAAAAAAAACAAACAAAAAAAAAACGACCAGTCCATCAAGTGCAGCCCTGAAGTCCACTCTTATGCTGTAGATCAGAACTCCCCCCCCCAATTTTTGCCACAAAAAAAAAAGGGGGCGGGGGTGGGGGGGACGACGACAATCCTTCTTGACCTCACTGTGGCAATCAGATTACTTCTTGGATTAAGAAACTGTTTACATACTTTGCAATTATATTCTTGAATATTAATCTTTTTTTTCTGTAATGTATGAGAGAATTCAACATCTTTATTGTTCTTACTATAAAGCCTTTCTTTACTCTGCTGAAAGCAAAACATCTTTCATTCCGTCTCAATGGGTGACCTTGTCTGTTGAATGTACCTGCTAATGAACAGGTTAGCACATAACTGTTTGTACTGACCCTGTATATTATTTGTATTGTGCCATCATATCCCTTCTGAGATTTATTTATTTTTTAAATAAAAATGAACAATTCCAGTTTTTCGAGCCTTTCATCATAGCAAATGTTTTCCAAACCCCTTAGTTCTGTAGCTCGCCTCTGCACTTCTAGTTCTGCATTTTTTTTAAAAAAAATTTTTTAAAATGGGTGCTAAAAACTGCATCACATATTCAAGGTGAGGGTCTAACTATTGCTTTGTAAAGAGGCTAAATTATATTTTCATCACAAGTATCAAAATCCCTTTTTATACATGAAACTACTGTGACGAGACCAATCTCGTCACTGTGCATTGGAGGAGCCTGGTTGCCCGCCTGCTGCCTTTAGACTATAACCCCAAGTTGAAACGCTTGATTTTCCCATGCTAAGACACGAAAGCCGGGTCATTCGGTGCTTGCCCTATTTGAGCGGTGATAGATAGCTATGCCATAGAGCCCATTCGTATAATGAAAGACTATGGGAAAGACTTTGGCTCCATGGCAATTGAATTGTATGTGTGTGATCTGAGCGCCATTCAGTAATAATGTGCGCTCAGATCTGAGCTATCTGGGGATATGTTGAATGTACCCGTTTTATGCAATGGCTGCACAGTTATATATTTTTATGTATTTTATTGTCTTTTGCTGCCATGTGTTCAATGGAGTTTTGCCTCTGTCCTTGGAGATAATTGGATTATTTCCAATTATCTCCAGGATAGAAGACTCTGTGGAACTGGTTTTGGGCAGAAAAGCCATTCTTCATTTGGTCACAAAGGACTACAATCTATTTTTTGAACCACTGGACCAATTTGTATGATTTTGACGTATGTTTGTATTTGGAGTATGCTGATTCTGAAAATGTAAGTTTTATGTCAATGTGATGCATACTTTTATTTTGAATAATGTGGAAAAACTATTTCTCTGCCTGTGATAATTACATTACCCATTGTGTAAGGTAATTGTATCACAGGCAGAGGGGAGGATTTTGTGTGGGAGTGTCTGAGTGTATTGTACGAGTTTATTGGTTGTTTTCCAAAACCCTGTGGGTGGTACTAATGTGTAAGAATGTGTATATAAGCACAATAAACCCACAGCTCTGTCTGTTCACTGCTTGACCCTCAACACAGAGCTTTGTCTCGTTCTTGGGGGGATTTATTGTATGCTGTTCCAGTTCGACTGCTAGGAGTGTAAACCTTTCGTATGATTTTTCCTATTCGGCTGTTTACAGCGTTCATATGGTTTCCTGTTCGGCAGATTGGTGTCTTTGTCTATTGTTATCGATATTGTGTGTTTGTATATATATATAATACACATTTTCTCTAATGTTCTCCCTTCTATTTTTCACATTAACACTAACTTCTGTCATTACTAAAATATCCCTATCCTTTCACTCACCTGTCCCTGGCAACACCATCATCATTACTTCCACCTTACTTCCCTCCCCTCTCTATTCATCCCATGCACTCTACACTTACCTTTCCAGCCTATCTCCACCAACTCTTTCCAAATCCTCCACATACATACCCTCCTACAAAACTTTCAAATCCTACTCCCACCTTCACTTCCTTTCTATCCTTCTGCTCCTAGCAGCTGGTGATGTCTCTCCAAACCCCGGTCCCCTCTCAAAAAACTCAGCACATACTAACCCAAGGATCCACACTAATCTCATACCCATCTCTTGTTCCTCTAAATCCCCCTTCAATACTGCCCTCTGGAACGCACGCTCTGTCTGCAATATAACTAAATCCACTGCTGTCCATGACTACTTCATCTCTCATTCAATAGATCTACTAGCCTTAACAGAAACCTGGCTCTCCCCCTCTGACACTGCCACCCCTGCATCTTTGTCCTTCGGTGGTCTCCAACTTACTCACACCCCAAGAAACTCTGAATGTAAAGGTGGTGGTGTTGGGTTTCTCCTCTCCCCTCACTGCTCTTTTAAACCTCTTCCCACCCCCCCCTTCCCTCTCTTTCCCATCATTTGAAATACACTCTATTCGCCTTTTCAAACCTTTCGCTGCTAACATTGCTGTTATTTACCGTCCCCCTGGTTCCCCTCTTCTCTTCCTTGACCATTTTGCTGGCTGGCTACCCTATTTCCTCTCTTCTAACATCCCATCCCTAATTCTCGGGGACTTCAATATTCCTATAAACCCACCTTTGACCTCTGCAGCCAATAAACTACTTTCAATTACTTCCTCCCTCGGGCTATCACAGTGGGCAAATTCTCCCACCCATGTAGCTGGCAATACCCTTGACCTAATCTTCACTTATGCATGTACAGTATCTAATATCTGCAACACTCCTTATCCTCTCTCTGATCACCACCTCTTATCGTTTGCTCTCACTTACCCCCTCACCCAACAACCTCCGCCTAACCAGCCTCAACTCAGGAGGGACCTTAATTCTCTTGATCTCCAACAGTTGTCAGCTGACATTGATTCACAACTGCTATCCATCCCTTCCCTATCCTGTCCTTCACTGGCAATCTCCATATATAACTCTACTCTTACATCTGCCTTGAACACTGCAGCACCACTCCAAACAAGCACCTCAAGGAGGACCCACCCCCAACCATGGCATACTAAATCAACGCGCTACCTGCAAAGATGCTCCCGGTGTGCTGAACGCTCCTGGAGGAAGTCTCGCACCCAGTCAGACTTTCTCCATTATAGATTCATACTGTGTTCATACAGTGCAGCCCTTGCCCTTGCCAAACAGTCCTATTTCTCCTCTCTCATTAGTTCATGTTCCCACAACCCCAGGCGTCTCTTTGACACCTTTAATTCTCTTCTTCGCCCTGCTGTGGCCACCCCCCAAACCAACCTTACTGCTGACAACTTTGCATGTTACTTCACTGACAAAATTGAACAGCTAAGGAAAGAATTCTCCCCTCCTTGCCTTTCTGTTTCTCAATCACACATTGATCATGCCTTTCCTACCCTTCAGACATTCTCCCCAGCCACTGACCAAGAGGTGGCTGCTCTTCTTTGCTCCTCTCGCCCCACCACTTGCCCGCTCGATCCTGTCCCGTCTCACCTTATCAGATCTCTCTCCGCGTGTCTCGTGCCTTCTCTAACACACATCTTCAACTGCTCGCTCTCTTCTGGCATCGTCCCTGCTGACCTTAAGCATGCCACTGTAGTACCTATACTAAAAAAACCATCCCTTGACCCGTCCACCCCCTCTAACTACCGTCCCATATCCCTGCTCCCTTTTTCCTCAAAGCTTCTGGAAAGACTCGTCTTTACCCGTGTGTCTAATTTCCTCAATTCCAACTCTCTTCTTGACCCCCTTCAATCTGGCTTCCGCCCTCTCCACTCTACAGAGACTGCCCTTATCAAAGTCACTAACGACCTAATCGCAGCTAAATCCAAAGGCCACTACTCCATACTAATTCTTCTTGACCTCTCGGCGGCCTTTGACACCGTTGATCATGCTCTCCTTCTTCAAACTCTGCAATCGCTTGGTCTCTGTGACTCTGTCCTCTCGTGGTTTTCCTCTTATCTCTCCCAGCGCTCATTCAGTGTCTCTTTTTCTAATGATACCTCCTCCCCTCGCCCTGTCTCGGTTGGAGTCCCCCAAGGCTCCGTCCTTGGTCCCCTTCTATTTTCTCTTTATACTGCCTCTCTTGGCAAACTTATCACCTCATTTGGTTTCCACTACCACCTCTACGCTGATGACACCCAGCTATATCTCTCCTCCCCGGACCTCTCCCCTGCTGTCCTGCAACGTGTCACTGCTTGCCTTTCTTCCATCTCTGACTGGATGTCCTCCCGCTTTCTGAAACTCAATCTCTCAAAAACTGAGCTCCTTGTCTTTCCTCCTCCTAATACTGATCCTCCTCTTTCGCTCTCCCTTCAAGTTTGTGGTACCAACATCAGCGCATCCTTGCAAGCGCGCTGTCTTGGCGTCATACTTGACTCTGGTCTCACCTTTGAGTCTCACATCCAGCATGTTGCCAAATCCTGTAGATTCCATCTCAAAAACATAGCCCGCATCCGCCCCTTTCTTGCACCAGATACTACCAAGGAGCTTGTCCATGCTCTAATAATTTCCCGCATGGATTATTGTAACCCTCTCCTGCTTGGTCTTCCCAAAAGCCGTACTGCACCACTACAGTCTGTAATGAATGCTGCTGCTAGACTGATTTTCCTCTCTAGTTGTTTCTCCCACACCTCACCCCTCTGCCAGTCCTTACATTGGCTTCCTGTGTGCTATAGGAGTCAATTCAAGGCACTAACTCACACCTATAAAGCACTGAACAACTCTAGCCCCTCCTATATCTCCTCACTGATCCACAGGTATGTCCCTTCTCGGTCTCTCCGCTCTGCCCGTGACCGCCTCTTGTCCGTTGTCCGCACCCGTACGGCCAACTCGCGCTTGCAGGACTTCTCGCGGGCAGCTCCCTTCCTATGGAATAGCCTGCCTACCGCCATCCGACTCTCCCCTAGTCTTGCATCTTTTAAGAAGTGCCTTAAAACCCATCTCTTTAGGAAAGCCTATGGCCTTCAAGACTAACCCCTACCTCACTTACCTGTCTCTTGCCCTCCCCTAATGTCCTAATGTGTCTTACACCCCACCTCCTATAGAATGTAAGCTCGATTGAGCAGGGTACTCTTCAACCTATTGTTCCTGTAAGTTTATTTGTAATTGTCCTATTTATTGTTAAATCCCCTTTCATAATATTGTAAAGCACTACGGAATCTGTTGGCGCTATATAAATGGCAATAATAATAATAATAATAATTTGGTAGCTGCCTGTGTATCTGGAAGGGGAATATCCTCTAAACTGCGGTTTAACCCTTTTATGCCTGGGGGTGCCGTTACAACTACATTAATAGCATTTGCAACAGCAGACCGGCATAGCATACTGTTGCCTAGTCTGTGTTCTATAATTGTTCCCAAGTCCTTTTTATTTAAAGTTATCCTTCACTCAACCCCACGTATAAGTGGCTTGTGGGTTATTTAGTCCAAAATGCATGTATCTCATCTGCCACATGCCTGCCCAGCCCCCCTGCAAAATCCCTCTGAAGAGAAAGTATAAAATGTTCAGACTGTATTTTCTTACAAAGCTTTGTCATCTGCAAACATTGACAATTGACTTTCAATGCTTACTTCAAGATCACTTCATTTATAAACAGATCATAGAGAAGTCGACCCCGGACAGAACCCTGAGGCACTCCACTTACCACTTTTGTCTAATTTAAACATTTTCCAAACTACCATTTCTCTCTGCACTGTATATTTAGGCCAGTGTTCTGTCCAAGAACACAAATTTGTTATTCTAAACCAACTGATTTTAGTTTTACTAGTAACCTTTTGTGTGGAACTGTATCAAATGCCTTAGCAAAATTGAAATATTAAGACTGCAGATGTAGTAAATTAAACTAAAACATAAGTAAGGATATGGCAAACAGTTATTGAGGTAGGACCTATGGATGCCCATGATTTTGTGCCATGTTTGGTGAAAAAGTTACATCCGTCCCCATCTGGCTTTAGATCTAGCATCCTTACAGTCTAAAGGCCAGGGTTAGGCAACCTTCGGCACTCCAGATGTTGTGGACTACCTCCCTCATAATGCTGGCAAAGTATCGTGGGAGGTGTAGTCCAAAACATCTGGAGTGCTGAAGGTTGACTATGCCTGCTATAGGCCAGTAAGCAAAACTCAGCATTCAAGGGGTTAATCACCCTCTTTTCGGAAAGCCCTATCACATAGCCTGCCTCCATCTTCTGTAAAATATATATATATATATATAAACCCTATTTTTTTTTTTAATTCTTTATTTGTAGTGTGCAGGTAAATACAGACATATCTATGGTTTGCCACGACAGCAGAAGTAAGCATTTGATAAACATACATAGATGACGGTTTCATGGCACTTAAGAAGAGAAAGATATCCTGCACGATTTATAGTAAGAATAAACTATGTAAACTATGTATTTACATTTTCAAACTGCGCACGCTGATGCTGGGCGCATAAACACTGTATATGATGCATGCTTTATGTACTCATAATATGCCCTTTTTATAATATAAAAACAACAAAAAC